TGGGTGCCTATAAAATTAACCATATTCACCTTGTGAAGAAAATGTGACTAGTTATCGTCTGTAGAAAAGGAGGTATGAACCGCGACGTGCTCCAGAATTAGTTGGATTTACGTACAGGTGTAAGTAATGTAATTTATTATCCCCTTTATTAAAGGACCACTCTAGGCACCCAGACCACTTCAGCTTAATGAAGTGGTCTGGGTGCCTGGTCCAGCTAGGGTTAACCCATTTTTTTATAAACATAGCAGTTTCAGAGCCTCCAGTGGCTGTCTCTTGACAGCTGCTAGAGGCGCTTGCGTGCTTCTCACTGTGAAAATCACAGTGAGAAGACACAAGCGTCCATAGCATTATGAATGCTTTCCTATGGACTGGCTGAATGCGCGCGCAGCTCCTGCCGCTCGTGCGCATTCAGCCAAAGAGGAGGAGAAGAGGCGCAGAGGAGGAGGAGAGCTCCCCGCCCAGCGCTGGAGAAAGGTAAGATTTTAACCCCTTTCTCTCCCCTGGCGCTATAGTGGTCCTTTAAGGGGGTATATAATCATGACCAGTTATCTGATGCCCACTACTGATTTCTCCCGCCTGAGGAAGCCACTCTTTAGAGGTGAAACGTGATCTGGGGACTGAAAGAAGGACTTTGTTATTTTGGACATTGTTCCTTTGCTTTTATTTTATTGATTATATTTTGGTGTAATATCAAATAAGTAATTTTGCATATATTTTGGTTTCTGGTATCCTGCAAATCTAAAGAAAGGGAGAGTAGTCCCATACTACTCAGCGTGCTGAAATACAGCCTTATACTTTTACAAATAAGTACATTATTGTACTATTCTATGTTCCTATTTCTTTAATACTTTTATTAGGATTGGTGAAGAAAGAAACCTACATTGATCAAGGGTGGGTCACCTTAACGGACCCGGCTCTATTCCAACCAGAGCTAGGTTTCCTAGCTCATTACTTGTGAGTGTTCCATTTTATTGATGTATACCCCTATTTTCTTGATAAGTTTGCACTTAATATTTTATGTTACCTGGATTTGAAAAAGATTATTTCTGCAGTCCAAAATAGAGTCGAACGTAGCAAACAAAGGAAAAAAACACATAAAACAATAATAGTATCTATTGCTTTAAATAACATTGCACAAACATACTGTATATTTTGTTTACAGAAGTTTGTATCAACTAATTATAAAATGTATACACTACTCCTGTGGTGGCCAAACCAACCTCTATATACTTACTAATAGAAAATAATGTAAATCAATAATTCAATGCTGTGACATAAAAACTAAATTGAGATTAACAGTAAAGCACAGTGCTCACATATAAATATTGCGTACAATATAATACCATTATGTGTAGTATAGATAAATTGGCAATACAGAGATGTGGTCAGTGCTGAATGCTATGCCAAATCTCTGAAACAATAATCTAATAAATAAATAAAACACAAAAACCCACAAGGCTCACACTTAGCAAGATTAACTTTTAAAGGTGTGCCAAGCACTTACAGAATGAAGAGCCTTATAACATAATTAATAATGATGACAGGATTCCTGATTATAGAACAGGGACATATTGACAAATGATCATAGTTTAGCAGATCTCAGTTCTGAGTAACCCACAATAATATATAGGGAATCACAGGAGGTTGAGTTTTGGTTATGAATCATAACAAAACTATTCATTTTTGTTATTTGGGTTTTTTATAGATATGGCCATTACCATACTTGCAGAGGGTTAGGACTTAAAACATAGAATATGAAGGAATACCAATGAGGATGTATTAAAGGGACACTCTAAGCACCAAAACGACCATAGACATTTGCATAGGGTGTGCCGCTCTTCCGGTGTGCCTA